GGCCTCGGCAGCCAGGGCCGGCCGCCGGCCCGGGGGGAACCAAGCACTACTCCACCCCAGACCCCTCACCCGCCGTGCTGAAGCCCCGCCACGCCCGACTCCCGAACAGCGCGGCTCGACACAAGGGCGCCGCCATCTTCTCCCCGGGTCTCCCAAGACGCCGCCAGGCCCCCGGCCGAGAGGTGGCCGGAGCAGTGCCTGAACGCCGCGCGCGGAGCCAGGCCCCGCCCCGGGAATCCAGCCCCGCCCACAACAGCGCCAGGCGTTGGCCCAAAGAGCCAGGCCCCGCCCCAATGGAGCCAGGCCCCGCCCTTCGAAGGCTCCTCCCCGAGAACCGAGGGCCGTCCTTCTAGACCCGAGGAGGGGGCGGGCTGCGGGCGCGCGGGCGGCGCAGCGCCAGCAGGGGGCGGCATCCGCCGGCGCGCCCCGAGCCGTGACGCGTCTGGGTCGGCCCCGGGGACTTCACCCCAGACCTCCTCGCGGAACCTGAGCTCCCCAGCAGCGCAGTTCACCCGGATCTGGAATCTGACCCCAGCGGCCTGAATTTCCAGGTGGTGATCTGGCATCACCTTTGTAGTTGCTTATTTGGGAAACAAAAGCAGGTAATAATAGTCCCGCCTGGCGGGCCTGTGAGGAGGAGGATCTCGGTTGAAGTGGAAAGCAGCTCTTGACCATCTCCTAGTCTTCATGACCTGAACACCCCTGGAGAGTTAAGGGATCCTGTCTGCCAGGGCTCCTCCCAGCAAACCTTCACTCCCCTCCACCTTGCTCCCCCCAGGCTACCACACACGGTTATAAACGGTGTGTTATTATTAGTGTTATTATCATTGCCCACCCTGGGGCTTGAATTCTGGGCTTGGGCACTGTCTCTGGGCTCCTTTTTGCTCGAGGCTAGCACTCATCACTTGAACCACAGCATCACTTCCAGTTTTCTGGTCGTTTATTGGAGATCAGAGTCTCATGGACTTTCCTGCCTGGCTGGCTTTGAACCATGATTCTCAGATCTCAGCCTCCTGAGTAGCTAGGGTGACAGGCGTGAGCCACCTGTGCCCGGCCTGGACCAGTTTTGAGGGAAAAGAATGAGCAGCGATAGACCCACACCATTTGTTTCTTTATGTAACCCTTGACAGCAATGTCTGAGACTTGGGAAAAAGACACAGGGATAATTAGGCTACCTGCCACACCTTTGTGCCTGTGACAGAATAGATTTTTTTTGGGGGGGTGGTGCTGCTGGGGTTTGAACTCAGGGCTTCATGCTTGTTAGGGAGGTGTTCTACCACTTGCATCACAGCCAAGCCTTTCTAATAAGCTTGAATTTTTTTTCAGTGCTGGACTTGAATCCAGGGCTTCATGTATGAAGATAAGTCCAAATCTTTGCAGGAGCCTCCAATGGGATCAGCTGAAGAAGCGGCTCTAACATCTGTAGCTTCCTAAGGGATGGCAGGAAGGGGACATGGCTGAAAACCTGGGGCTTTAGTTTACCAGGGCATCGTTTGAATCCAGAGCCTGTTATTTGGTGTCATGTTGGGGAAGGTATGGATGTCCCTGAGCTTCCCTTTCTGTATCTTAGAACAGGGATGGTAATAGTACTTACTGACTTGGGCCCTGGTCTTGCTATGAGGTATCCTTGAACTGTAGGTCCTGGAGCCAAAGGAACCTGGGCAGGGCCACTTTGATTGGTTGGCTTTTTTTTTTGGGTCCGGTCCTGGGGCCTGAACTCTGGGCCTGGCCGCTGTCCCTCAGCTCTCAGCTCAAGGCTAGCGCTCTACCACTTGAGCCACAGCACCACTTCCAGCTTTTTTCTTTTTGCTTATGTGGTGCTGAGGAATCAAACCCAGGGCCTCATGCATGCAAGGCAAGCGCTCTACCACTGAGCCACCTTCCCAGCCCTCCGTGAGACTCTTATCTCCAGTGAACCAATCAGAAAACCAGAAGTGGTGCTGTGCTAGCCTTGAGCTGAAGAGCTGAGGGACAACGCTCAGGCCCAGAGTTCAAGAGGCATGACCAACAAAAAAGAAATAAGGGCAAACTCTAATGGACCTCGGCCGATTCTAAGAACTCGTTATTAGGAACATGTATAGCAGCTTATGGGCTCAGCAGCAGAGCCCTGGCCAAGCAAGTGCAAGGCCCAGCGTTCCCACCCTAGCATCTTGCACACAAGCAAAACAAAAAATAAAGAACTTCTCAGTTTAATGGGTTCAAGACCATGGGTGAATCTTGTTGGCAAACAAAGTCCCTCTGGGAGCTGGTCAGGGAGCAGAGAGATGAAGGCATCGGTAATGCTTCTACCCAGCACGGCGCCTTCGCGCTCTTCCTCTGACGTCGGCTCATGTGGCTGGCCTTGCCTCCTTGGCTCCTGGACAGAAGCTGCATTGGGAGTAAACGCTGCGACCCCCGGCAGGCCTGTGAGTGCGGGATGGCAGAGGCCTCCAGGGAGCACCGGTAGCCTGGGCACAGCCACACCTCGTGGGAACCGTACTCCACTTCCCTCCCCTCTGCGGGCACAGGCTGGTGCTGCCTCCCTCCCTCCCTCCTTCCCCATCCTTCCCACCCACTTGGGCAGTGCTGGGAATTTGTGCAAGCAGGCCCGAGTGGCAGAGGTGGAAGGCGGGTGGTATCCCAGGGGCCCAGCAAACTGTAGGGAAGGGTGCAGCTTCCCTCTGCCCACTAGGCCTTCATCACTGAGCCTGGTGGTGGAGGGTCCTTGTCTCTGTGCCCATTCAGGAGGGGCCCTGTCAGGCGGGGAAGGGAGAAGGATACTTATGGGACCTCGAAGAGACCCAAGCATGAAGGTCCCTCTGGAGGAAGGGCAGCGCAAGATCTCAGGAGAAGCTGGGGAGCTCAAGGACAGAGCTGGAGGTGAGCAGGCCCTGGCCTCAGCACTTCCCAGGGGAAGACACTCAGGCCTTGACTCAGCTTTCAGGCTGCGGTGCCTGGAAAGAACATTCGAGAAGCCTGGACATGAGAAGTGCTGTAATCAGGCCCTGAGCAGTACATGTTCCCGAGAGTGCTCTGTGGAGCTGGAGGCTGGCAGAGGAGGCTCAGGCCGCGCAGCAGAGGCAGCGCCGTCTCAGGTGGAGTGTGGCGCCAGGTTGTAGGAAGCTTTCTTCAGTGTCTCCAGGAAGAACTTCTCATCCTCCAGGAACTCTCTGTCCTGAGAGGCAGGTTCAGGGGGAGTGTTCACATCGTGGGCACTGAGGGGAAAGCTGGGCACTTGCTATCTATGCCAGCCCTCACTCAGATGACCCCTTCCACTTTCTCCCTGGCTCTGGGAGGCCTCAAGAGTGGAGGGTGTGAAGGAACCCAGCAGAGTGAGGCGGGCCACAATCTGTGGAACTCTGCAGAACATGATCTGGTCTTTCTTTTTGTGTGTGTATGTGTGCCAGTCCTGGGGCTTGAACTCAGGGCCTGGCACTGTCCCTGAGAGCTTTTTGCTCAAGATCTACCACTTGAGCCACAGCCACTTCTGGATTTTTTTCTGTGACTAATTGGTGATAAAGAGTCTCACAGGCCCTGGCACTGGTAGCTCACACCTGCAATCCTAGCTACTCAGGAGGCTGAGATCTGAGGATCATGGTTCAAAGCCAGCCCAGGCAGGAAAGTCCATGAGACTCTGATCTCCAGTAAACTACCAGAAAACTGGAAGTGGAGCTGTGGCTCAAGTGGCAGAGTGCTTGCCTAGAAGAGCTGAGGGACACCGCCCAGGCCCAGAGTTCAAGCCCCACTACCAAAACAAAAACAAAACAACAACAACAAAAAACCTCACAAGATTTTCCTGTCTGGGTTGGATTCAAACCAGGATTCCCAGATCTCAGCCTTCCCAAGTCACTAGGATGACAGGCGTGAGCCGCCAGCGCCTAGCCTCAATTTCCTCATGATGTAGGAAGGCTCTGATGCCAGCAAGCAGGGCACACTTCTTTTTTGGTCATTCATAGGGCTTGAACTCTGGGCCTTGAGCTCTTCAGCTCAAGGCAAGTGCTTTACCACTTGAGCCGCCACAGTACCACTTCTGGTTTTCCGGTGGTTCATTGGAGGTTAAGAGTCTCATGGACTTTCCTGCCCAGGCTGGCTTTGAACTGTGATCCTCAGATCTCAGGCTCCTGAGTAGCTGGGATCACAGGTGTGAGCCACTGGGCCCGGCTAGGATACATTTCTTGAAAACTGCTGTCATTGCTGCTTTTACAGGGTAGCTGAGGTTTCGCTGAGGTGATAACCACCACTGGCTGCTATAGAATCTGGTCTCGAAACTAGCAGAAGTCTCTGAAGGTGTACACTCAGCAGTGTGTACCACTCTCCCCCTCTAGGATTCCTCACCACTGCCTCTGGCCCACTCACCTGCTCAGCCGTGTACTTCAGCAGCAGTAGCCTGGTGATGAGGTGAATGGAGCCTGGGCCTGCTGACGGTTTGCTGTACTGGGAGATGGCAGGAGCAGAGTTCACGGAGGCTGAGGAGGAAGTCAAGGCCAAGGCATTGGCAAGTATCCCAGCTTGCTCCCAAGCCCTACTCCCGTACAGCCCATCATGCTCTGGGGCTATGTAACCGCAATGCTCCAAGACCTCTGAAGAACACTCATGAGAGTGGGAATGTGGCTCAGTGGTAGAGCGCTTGTCTGCTTGTCTAGCACACATGAACCCCTGGCTTCCATTCCTCAGTACCACGTAAACAGAAAAGGCTCGAAGTGGCACTGTGGCTCAAGTGGTAGAGTGCTAGCCTTGAGCAAAAGCAGCTCAGGGACAGTGTTCAGGTCCTGAGTTCAAGCCCCAGGACTGGCAAACAAAAAAAGAACTCATGGATTCCTATTGGAAAAGCCTAGTTCTAAGATTGTGTGTGTGTGTGTGTGTGTGTCCTATGGGCTTGAACTCAGGGACTAAGTGCTTTTAGCTTTTTTATTCAAGGCTGGCACTCTACCAGTTGGGCCATAGCTTTTTTTTTTTTTTTTTTTGGGTCCGGTCGTGGGGCCTGAACTCTGGGCCTGGACGCTGTCCCTCAGCTCTTCAGCTCAAGGCTAGCGCTCTACCACTTGAGCTACAGCGCCACTTCCAGCTTTTTTATTTTTGCTTACGTGGTGCTGAGGAATTGAACCCAGGGCCTCAGGCATGCAAGGCAAGCACTCTACCACTGAGCCACCTTCCCAGCCCTGGGCCATAGCTTTTTGATGGTTAATTGGACTTTGCTGTCTAGGCTGGCTTCAAATTGTGATCCTCAGGGCTGGGAAGGTGGCTCAGTGGAAGAGCGCTTGCCTTGCATGCCTGAGGCCCTGGGTTCGATTCCTCAGCATCACATAAGCAAAAAGAAAAAAGCCGGAAGTGGTGCTGTGGCTCAGGTGGTAGAGTGCTAGCCTTGAGCTCAAAAGCTGAGGGACAGTGCCCAGGCCCAGAGTTCAGGCCCCACAACTGGACCCCCCCCCAAAAAAAAAATTGTGATCCTCAGATCTCAGCTTCCTGAGTAGCTAGGATTATAGTGTGAGCCACCGGTGCCTAGTTCTAAGAATTTATTGAAGGTAAAAAAGTCAGGCCAGGGGCTGGGAAGGTGGCTCAGTGGCAGAGTGCTTGCCTCGTATGCGTGAGGCCCTGGGTTTAATTCCTCAGCACCACATAAACAAAAAATGCTGGAAGTGGAACTGTGGCTTCAACTGGTAGAGCACTAGCCTTGAGCTGAAGAGCTGAGGGACAGAGCCCAGGCCTAGCCATGACTGACTCCCCCTCCCAACTCCCCCCATAAAAGTCAGGCCTGGGTCCCATGATATAAGGTTTGTACTGTGGGGCTCATCATCTTGGTGACAATAAATCCCTCCACATCAAGGAGCCTCAGGGTGGAAAGTTGTGCTGCTGATTGAAGACTGCCTAAACATTCAATCACTGACATGGAAACATGCTCCTTATGTGTATGACAAAGGGAAAGGACACTATAAAACATGTGACATACTCCAGATTGTCTTTTAAAAACACATATATTACCTGGAATGTTAAGAACCAAAGATATTAAAGAGAGTAAGAGTTAAGAGTCTAAGGTTAAGAGTAATATTTTTAAAAAGGTTTTCTCCTCTGAAGTTAACATGCATCAAGTTGTGTAAAAGGAAATATAAATTCTGTCTCCACAGGGTTTTAATCTTGGGAAGCCAAGTCTATACTGAGCTACATAGCAAGTTCCAAACCAGCATGGGCTACATATTGAGAGCCTGTCTCAAACAAAAACAAACAAACAAACAAAAACAACCAAGCTGAGTGACTCATGCCTTTAATCTAGGGAGGCCAAGATGGGGGGGATCACATTTCCAGGTCAGAATCGGCAAAAAAGTTCATGAGACCCCTTCTCAATGGAGTACGCTTGGCAGGGTGATGTGTGCCTGTCTCTGTATAAAATAGGAGGATCATAGTCCAGATGTAGGCCCAGGCAAACCCTATATTAAAATAACCAATGCAAAAAAGGGCTAAGGTGTGCTTCAGCAGTTGAGCACCTGCTTAGCAAGCACAAGGCCAAGTTCAAATCCCAGTATTCCACCCCACCCACTAGAAAGGAAACAAAATCCCAAGAAACAAAATCCCTTGCATGGCGTGATAGCTCCTGGAAGGCTGAGATCAGAGAATCATGATTTGAGACTACTCAGGGCAAAAGGTTGGTGAGACTCCATCTCTTTTATTGGGTATGGTGCACACTTGTCGGATCCTATCTTAAATACAACCAAAACAAAAAGAGCTTTCAGAGAGGCTCTAGTGGTAGAGTACCTACCTAGCAAACAGGAGGCCCAGCATTCAAACTCCAGTGCCATCAAAAAACAACAATAAAACGAAACAAAACAAAGCTGGGCACTCACGTCTGTAATCCCAACTTCTCAGGAGGCTGAGATTTGAAGATCATGGTTCAAAGCCAGCCGGGGCAGGAAAGTCTGTGAGATAAGTCTCCAATAAACCACTCTAAAAACTGGAAGTGGCGCTGTGGCTCAAGTGGTAGAGTGCTCACCTTGAGCTGAAGAACTGATGGACAGTGACCAGGCCCAGAGTTCAAGCTCTATGACCAACCAAAACAAACCAAACCAACCTCCAAAGCCCCAGTCGTCCTGAACTTGAATGGCTAGAGGAGGTGGCCCCTGCCTTGGGCCATCTCAGCTATTTCCCTTCTCCCTGGAGCCACTCACCAATCTGGTTGTGGGCTGTGGGAAGCTGGGCTGTGGAGAGCTCCAGGATGCTGGAAGGCAGGTCTCGCGTATGGTCCAGCTGCTGCCTCTGTTGGGCCAGGCTCAGGTGCTCCTATTCCAGCCCCGAAGAGAAGGACTGACTGAGTGGGGAGGGTGTGCAGCTGAGTGTGGGGGAGGAGGGCAGGAGACAGGGGCTTGCCTGGTGCACATGCTGCTCCTGCTGCCGTAGCTGCTCCTGCTGCACCTGCAGCCGGGCCTGCTGCTCAGACTGCACCAGCCGGGCTGCCCGCAGCGCCTGCTCACCCTCTTCGTACTTCTTGGAGGCCACCTGCAAAGAGGCCAGGCTGGGTCAGTGCTGCTGGGGCTGGAAGGAAGTCCGTGTCACATCCATCCAGCCACACCTTGCTCATATGCTCCACTTCCTCCATGCGGAGCTGGAGGCGCAGGGCGGAAGCGTGGATTTTCTCCTGCTGCAGCCGGAGTTCCTGCTGCTCTCGCTCTAGAGCCTCCCGCTCAGCTGCCAGTCGCTCCTCCTTGGCCTGGAGCTCTTTGGTTCTGACCTTTAGCTCTGCCTGCTCCTAGACAAAGAAGGCAAAACCTCACTGCAATCCAGGCTCTGTGCAGCACCCTGGGGTCCCTTCTCCCCGCCTCCCACTCTGCCTCTGGAAGGGGCCAATAAACCAGGGCCTTCTAGGATGGGCTCCCCATCCTACTCGGTTCATCTTCTCTGAGCCACAATTTCCTCCGTTCTAAAATGTCTGTGGCAGGTTGGCAGCAGTGGTTCATGCCTATAGTCCTAGCTGCTCAAAAGGCTGAGATGTGAGGATCACAGCTCACAGTAGTTTTCTCCAATTAACTACCAAAAAGTGGTAAGGGGAGCTGTGGTTCAAGTGGTAGAGCGCCAGCCTTGAGTAAAAAAAGCTCAGGGACAGGGTTCAGGCCCTGACATATTGGCACAAAATACATAAAATAGGTAAGTAATGGGACCTGGTGAGGAACAGAGTGCCTGGGGCAACACCACCAAGGTGCCACAATGATGTCACGACGGTTGTCATCCTGTGCTCCTGTCACTTCTCAAGCCTGGGTGCTGACCCAGCCTGATGGAAGGTTGGCCAAGGCTCTGGACCCTACCTTCGCCAGGCTGATGATGGCACCTTCCCGCTGGGAATCCACCTGCAGCGCCCGCTCGGCCTCGCGCTCCGCCCGTTCCTTACTTAGCTTCTGCTGCAGGAAGAACTCGGCCCACTCAGCTGCCAGGCGCCGCCGCTCCTCCCCGCACTTCTGCATGACAGACTTCTGTTCCTCCAGCAGGGCACTCTGGACATGGGGTAGGGACCCAGAGTGAGTGGCCCTGGGTATGGTGGCACAGCGAGTCAGCGGCTGAGCTGAGTGTGGTGGACTCACCTTGGCTCTCTCCAGCTCCTCCCTCTCTATGGTGAGCTGCTGGGACATGACCTTCCTCTGTTCCTCAAGGGCACGCTGTGTGGACTCTGCTTTGGACTGCTCAGCAGTCGCTCTCCAGCGTTCCTGCAGGGAACATGGCCTGGCTCAAAGCTAGGTCCCTGGCCCCAGAAGCAGCGCTAGTTGCTCCTGAGCTAGGCAAACCTCCTTGTATCTCCCACATCATGTCTTAAATGCCTCTTTTCCAAAAGGCACAAAACAAGAGAGCCTGGCCACTAGTGCCTGGTCAGACTTTTTGTTTCTGGTCTTGGGGCTTGAACTCAGGGCCTGGGTGCTCTCTACCATTTGAGCCACAGCGCCCCATCCAGCCTTTTCTGTTTATGTGGTACTGAGGAATTGAATCTAGGGCTTCATCCATGCTTGGCAAGTGCTCTACCACTAAGCCACTTTCCCAGCCCTCAGACTTATTCTTTTTTTTTTGTGGGGGGGGTCCGGTCATGGGGCCTGAACTCTGGGCCTGGGCACTGTCCCTCAGCTCTTCAGCTCAAGGCTAGCGCTCTACCACTTGAGCCACAGCGCCACTTCTGACTTTTTTCTTTTTGCTTATGTGGTGCTGAGGAATCGAACCCAGGGCCTCATGCATGCAAGGCAAGCGCTCTATCATTGAGCCACCTTCCCAGCCCAGACTTATTCTTTAAACAAGCAAGCTTCCAGGTATAGCTGGCTCAAGTCTATAAATCTCAGCTACTCAGGAGGCTGAGATTTGAGGATCACAGTTCAAAGCCAGCTGGGGTAGGAAAGTCCATGAGACTCTTGTCTCCAATTAATCACAGAAAAAGCTGGAAGTAGCACTGTGGATCAAGTGGTAGAGCACTAGCCTTGAGCAAAAAAGAACTCAGGGACAGTGCATAAGCCCAGTTGGAACCAGAGGACTGGCAAAAAAAAAAAAAAAGAAGGAAAAGGAGAAAGCTCACTCTTATATATAAATGGTGAAATTGTGCATAGGAAATTCAAACATATGTGTCAGAGCTAGGGAAGTTAAACAGTATTTAGAGGGCAAGAGTATTTGTCCCAATGGTGGGAAGCAACTGATGGGACAGATCCCAGTGACAGGAGCAAGGAAGGAAATCAAGTTGTGTTGGCAGATTGTGGAGGTGCCTTGGGCTGGTTGGCCCCTGCTACTCAGGTGGGCAGTGTGTAGAGCCAGGCCGGCGCTGAAGATACAGAAGCAGAGCAGGGAGGGAGGGACATTGCAAAGGAAGTCTAGGTCTTGGTGAGTGATTTGAAGAGGACAGGTCAGAGGACGGCTAGACAGACTCCCTGAACCACAGCACAGTCTTACCTGCTCCAGGAGCCGACTCTGCTCATTCAGGCGCGCCTCCATCTTCACGATGACCTCCTGGAGCCGGCCTCGTTCCTCCTCCATGTCCCGCTGCTGCCGGCCCAGCCGCTCCTGCAATGCTGGGGTGGCCCACAGGGCACTCACTACTGGCATCCATCCCTCCCGGCCAGGACCAGCTTACTGGGGGGGGCCCTACCTCGCAGCTGCTCGTCCTGCTGCCGGATGCCCAGCGCCCGCTCCTGAGAGGTAGAGACGTGGGAGGCCTCCACGCGGGAGGACAGCTCGTTCAAGCTGCTGGAGAACTTCTCCATCTGCTGGATGATGCCATTCAGTGACCTGGAGGGGGAACAGAGCACCCTGTCCTGGGGATGCCCAGCCCAATCCCTCCGGTGGGCAGGGCTGGGTGGCACACGCACCTCGTGTGGGAGGTGGCACTGGTGACCGCGTCGATCTCCTGGTCCTTCAGCAGCTTCAGCCGCTGCAGTTGCTCCCCGTGGTCCCTGTGCATCTCCTGGATGGACACCCTGTGGGGAGGGGCACGGAGGGCCTCACAGAACACAGTGGCAGCACAGTGGTAGGAAGAGTCTGCCTTGAGTGCTCCCTCCTGCTCCTCCCTCAGGCATGGCTTCAGTTGCCTAAATCCAACCTTCTTGGTGTTTCAAAGCTATGTGCACCAAGAGATTGATTATCTAGCAAAAACACTTTCACAGAGCAAGAGACAGCTTACTGTGAACATAGCCTTTCCTGGGTGTCCATGTGGGCATCTTTTTTTTGTTGTTGTTGTTCCAGTATGGGGGCTTGAACTCAGGGCCTTAGCTTTTTTCCATCCAAGGATGGTGTTTTTTTGTTGGTTGTGGGGCTTAACTCAGGGTCTGGGTGCCTGGGTGCTGTCCCTGAGCTCTTTTGCTCAAGGCTAGTGCTCTACCACTTTCAGCCACAGTGCCGCATCCAGTTTTCTGGTGGTTAATTGGAGATAAAAGTCTCGTGGACTTTTCTGCCTAGGCTGGCTTCAAATTGGGATCCTCAGATCTCGGCCTCTTGAGAAACTAGGGTATAGGTGTAACCACCGGTGCCCAGCCCATGAGGGGCCTGTGGGGCTCTCACAACCTTGGAGTCCCTTGGGTTCCTTGTTTTAGCTTTGTTATTGTCTAGAAAGACAATGAGATCAGCATGCCAGACACACTAGCCTCTACCTCTAGCAGGGCTGTGGGCTAACCTGCAGCTGGCTGAGCCCTTGGTACTCGCTGCTGCTAGGCTCTGCCTGGATGGCTCTTGACTCTTCCCTCAGGCACTGTGTGCCCCCTCCGGCCTCAGCAAGGATGGCACCTCGCTCGCTGGGAGGGGAATGGGCCCGGTGCTGAGCCCTGATTCTTGCCCCAGTGGGTGAGGTGAGGGAAAGGTGAGTCTCTGAGCAAAGGCAAGTATTGCTCACTTGCAGCCAATCCCTGCAAGCCTGCTCCTCACCCACCTGCCCTGGCATCATGCCCTTACCGCTGCAAGTCCCGGAGCCGCTCTATCTCTTGGTCCTTTTCCTGTGCAGCTGCTGCTAAGCGCCGTTGGTGCTGGGCTGTAAGCTCAGCTCGGGCCTGCTCAGCCTCTTTGCAGTGCGTCAGATACTGAGTGGATAATTCCTCGTTCTCTCTCCGGAGCCGCTCCTCGCGTTGTTGGTATGAGGTTTCTAACATCTTGATGCGGCTTCTGCCAACAGAGCACTCAGTTACAGTCTCATTGAGCTCGCTGGCATGCCCTTGGGGCTTGGTGAGGAAATCGAAGCCAGAGCTGGGGCAGGGTGGGAGCCTGGAGACCCTGCGGTGGTCACAGGTGGAGAAAGGGCGCTACCTGTGTGCATTCTCCATGAGCTCCAGGTCTGCTTGGTGCCGCTGCTGCAGACTCTCCAGCAGCAGTTTGTGATGGCTCTGCTCTAGCTCCAGCTTCCGCACCTAGGAGATGGCATGGGGAGAATTGTGGGGTCTCTCTGCATCTGTGCTCCATGATAGTCTGTGCCCTGGCCCCTCTTCCCTCATGGTCAAGCCTACAAGTGCTCAGTGATGCCTGACTGTGGCCCACAGCCCTAACCTGGGCCTCCAGCTCGCCCACCCGGGCCTGGCTTTCCAGCAGTTCTGCTTCGAGCTGGGCAGTGCCACTCTGAAGCTGAGTGGGGGCTGCCAGGAGCTGCTTCTGGTATCTTGTACCTGGTGGCAGGCTCTGCATGAAGGACCCTGGGTGTAGAGACTGCAGGAGAGGAAGAGAAGGTTAGATGAACACAGTTGTCTCCTGGCCCTCTGCTCACTGGATTGCCTGGCCTTGACCCTCACCTGAGGTTACAGAGAGTGACAAGACTAGAAGAGCATCAAGATGAGGCCTCCCAGGACTGGGAAAGTAGCTTAGTGGTAGAGTGCTTGCCTAGCATGCATGAAGCCCTGGGTTCAATTTCTCAGTATCACATACACAGAAAAAGCCAGAAGTGGTGCTGTGGCTCAAGTGGTAGAGTGCTAGCCTTGAGCAAAAGAAGCCCAGGGATGGTGCCCAGGCCCTAAGTTCAAGTCCCAGGACTGGGGAAAAAAAAAAAAAGGAAAAAAAGATGAGGCCTCCCCTTATAGCTGTAGATGCCTTCCCCAGGGGGAGAAGCCAATTCTGCATGTTTTTGAGACCGGCTTTTACTCTGCTAGGATTATTAGGCATGCACCACCACACCTAGCTCTCCAATTCCCTTCACATGCTGGTACAATACAGTCATACCCAATTCTACCTTGGAGGAGTGAGGCTGGCGGTTCAGGAAAGTCCTGATGAGAGATGCCAGAGTGAGCTGGCTAGGTTGCACTGAACGTATCAGGCACATTCTTCCTGTTGGGTTGTCATGTCCAACTCCTGGGGTTGCCTCTAAGTATAGGAGAATTGTTCCCTAGACCTGACCCACACCTGGTAGTCTACCCTCCCTACCTGGACAGGCACTGTAGGTTCCTGAGTGCGTGAGTCATAAATCACAGGTTCTGAAAAACGAACAGCACAGACATGAGTGGGGAATTGTGGGTCTGTGCGTGCCTGGGAAAGACCCTTGTCACTCATATTCCAGGGGTCCCCAAAGCATCTAACTTGTGTCTTCCTTGCCCAGATTAAACCCTCATCCAAGCAGAGAACAAACCAGTGGCAGCAGAGTCTCCAGGGGTTGTTCCCTTCTTTGGGTCCATTGTTGGGGGGGCCAAGGCAGTCTGGCTCCAACTCATGGGGGACCTGGAGACACAGGAGATGGGGGGGTTGGTGGCCTTTTATGGAGGGCACAGGAGTGAAGGACCAGAGCGACACCAGAAATAAGGAAAACATTGGGCCCAAATGATGAGAAAGCCCAGTGGCTGATGAGTTACTTGAAATAAAGATGAGGAGTCAGGGCTGGGCATGTGGCTTAGTGGCAGAGTACTTGCCTAGCATGCATGAAGCCCCAGGTTCGATTCCTCAGTGCCACATACACAGAAAAAGCTGGAAGTGGCACTGTGGTAAAGTGCTAACCTTGAGCACAGAGAGGCTCAGGGACAGTGCCCAGGCCCTGAGTTCAAGACCCAGGACAAGCAAAAAAAAAAAAAAGAGGAGTCAGCTTCTGCCCCTTCTGCCATTAGGAGGCAGACAGTCAATACCAGAGCCAGGCAGGCACTCTGGGCCCCATCACAACCGCCCGTCATCCATCTCTAGGCCCGCCCTGCTGCCTCCCACGCACAGCCCTGGCAGTGGACGTACCCTGCGACGGTGGGCGGGACAGCTGGCATTTCTTCCACTGTTGCTCTCGAGGCTGCTCCAGCAACTGCCTGCTCAGTGCCCCGAGTGCTGGCACCGGGTTGGCTGAGGAAAGTCACGAGACAGGTGAAGGCAACAGAAGGTCTATGTTGGAGTGGATGATAGCCAAGGCAAGCTCCTAGCATTCCACCTATGCTGTTCCTCTATCTTTTCCTCATCCTTTCCCACCACTGAGTTGGAGAACTCTCCCCAGTCTGAGCTCTTGGGTCTGTGGGCTACTCCCTTCCAGACCCTGCGCATCCACTACCTCAGCATCCCCTCTTGTTCTGTGGCGGGACACGGCCCATGGAGTGACAGCGGGCCACCCCACACATTGTAATAAAGTTCACGCCATGTTTGGGTCCACTTCTCTGCACTCCTCCTCAGATATGGTCCTGCGTCATCACCCCAAGATGCCTTCCCTGGACCACTGTTACCCTACCTTCCTTTTTGGCTCAGAGTCAGAGAGGAAAAAGGGCCTCCGCTTTCTATGTGGCTCTAAGTTGAAGTCAAAGCTGCCCACCTCCTTCAATCAGCCAAGTCATGGCAAGGTGATGTCCCTGGGCTCTCACAAGGTTGCCCAGTCTCCCCTCGCTAGCTCTAGCTGAACAGCGCCTTACTGCTTCTCTAGTTTCGGCGTCTCGCCAGCTTCTTTGCTTTCCTGCCCTCAGAGGCCCATCGTGTATCTGTCCCACTGGACTGTCATTCTGTGGCTCCCAGGAACACCCTGGTCACTGTGACTTCTCAGACATCCCAAGTCCCCAAGAGCACACCAAAGACTTGACTCATGCACACTGTAGTCACATTAGCTTAGGCCAGCAAAACCAACTATTTGCACAGTGTGTTTCTCTGCCCATCTGACAAGAGCTGTGGGCAGGGCCCCGTAGGTACGGAGGCAGCACAAGCCAGCAGAGCCTGCCACTCCAGAGAGGTCCTGTGCCCCTGGTGGTCAGGAACATGAGTGACAGTGGGCCACTCATGTCTGCAAAGTCAGCAGCTCTCTGCCATGCCATAAGGAAGAGAAGCAGAGCTGAGTGCCGGCATCTGTGCCCGTGGCACACTTGCCGGCACACCTAGCAGGGGCTGTAATAGATGAGATGGGCAAGGCTGGCTCTCGAGGCCTTGCCCAGTGTTCCCCCCCCCAGACGTAATACCCCAAGCCTATACCTGCTGGAATGGGGCCGGCGGGCTGTTCCCATCAAGTTCTGGGCCCCAGCATGTTCCTCTCTGGCCAAACCTTGGGACTTCTTCTGAGACAAGACGTGGCTAAGCCAGTCATCCTCCTCTTCTTTCTCCTTGGATGCTCCCTGTGTGGAGGCCTGGCTGGCTCGGACAGGGGGCCCTGTGTTCTTGGCTGGTACCTTTGCTGTTGATGGTAGTGCAGCGGGGGCAGAGTGCTGACTGGCTGGAGCAGGTAGGGAGGGTGGAGAGGTTGTTGAGCCTTCCTGTTGGACCTCTGGGATGGGAGATGGAGGTAGCAGGTCCAAGTCATCATCCTTGAGGCCCAACCAGTCTGCTCCGCCCTTTCTGGAGCTGATGGGGCTGGAAGTCGCTTGAGGGCTCTGTTTGGAACCCAGTTCTCCCTTGGGGTCTGGGCCACCTTCTGCTAAGAACCTGCTTCAAAACAAGAGAGGAGGAGGAGGCCAGATGGGGGAGGAAGCTCATTTCAATAGCATTCCCAACCCTCTGTTGGCCTGATGGGGGACCAGAGGCCTGCGGCAGGAAGTCTATGATGTCCAGGGACTCTGCACAGCTAGCCTGAGGCAATGAACAGCAGATCCTGGACCAGCTCCAGCGGCAGGGCCATCTGTTTTTACAACACTGTGAAATCTGGACATTGACTTGAGCCACAGAAACCAGGAGCAATTCTGCCCGTCGCAAACAGGGTCAGATTAGAACTACAGGTACCATGTCCACAGAACAATCAGTGGGCCAAGTGATGTGCAGGTTTCACACCAGTAGTCTTGTTTCTTGCTCATTTGTGCAGCCACCGCCTAAAGATGCTACAGGGGAGTAACTCAGAAGTGAAGTGTGTACTTACATGCATAAGTCCCTAGGTTTAATTCTGCACACATAAAATAATTACACACACACACACCACCCAAAAACAAAAAGAAAAAAATCAACAATAGCAACAAAAATCCAGTCAGGCACTGATGGCTCACACTTGTAATCCTAGTTACTCAGGAGGCTGAGATCTAAGAAGCCAGCCCAAGTAAGAAAGACTGTGAGACTCTTATCTCCAATAAACCGCCAGAAAACTAGAAGTGGCACTGTGGCTCAAGAGGTAGAGCACTTGCCTTGAGTACAAAAGGCTCAGGGATAGTGTCAAGGCCTTGAGTTCAAACCCAACTGCTGGCATTAAAACAATAACAACAACAAAACCCCTGAGATGCAGGTACAGTGACAAATGCCTGTCAATCCCAGTATTTAGGAGGCAGATACAGTAGGCTTAAGAGCTTGAGGCCAGCCTGGGCTACAGAGTGAGACCTTGTCTCAGAAAAACAATCCAATAAGGGCTGGGGATACAGTTCAGTGTAGAGAGCTCGCAAGGATGGGATGGGAAGAAGTATCCAGGGGGATGAGAGCTATTGAGATGAAACACTGCCCCATGGGTGACCACTGCTAACCCTCGGAGGGCAGTAGAGGGGAAGAGAGGAAGATGGGGGAGGACTTTCCTGAGGGAAGCCCTTCACTCCCATGTCCTGTGTGCGGAGCAGGAAATGTTTTTCCCTTTTTCCATTTCTTCCTACTTCACCCTGTCACATTAATCTTTGCTAAAATTTCAAAACAACAACAACATTAAACAAAATAAAAAGCCCAGACTTTTCTGTTAAGTTTGAAATGACACCAAATTATGGTTTAAAATATATAAGGCGGGAGGGGGCGGGGGAAGGGGCGCTGCAAATCTGGAGAATTCTATTGCTGATCTACTTTCTGTGACAAACTGGAAAAGGTGTGCTGGCCACATTGTCAGGGCAGGTGGACAGCAGTGCCCAGGAGGCTGGCTGGAGAAGCTGTGGTCTGCCTCAGGACACGGCCCACTAGCATGGGGCTGTGGGTTCCTCATGGAGACAGAATGAGTGATAGCACATATTCATGGCTTTCATGGGCTCCGTCTTCCCCTTTCCTTCTGAGCAGTGTGGGGGAATAGGACCCCTAACCAGGATAGAGTCTGGGATTGAGCTCCAGTGGGAGCCAACTCTATTCATGACTGGCAGCCTCCCATACAACCTCATTCTTAGGGATGAGGAAGGCTGCAGGCCTCACCTACCTGACAGACTGCCGGCGGGACTGCCGGCCCTCGGAGGAGCCCACGGAGGGCTTGTAAGCGCCGAAGGTGAAGATATCATCATCCCAGCTGTCTTCTTTGTCTGTAAATTAAGGTGCTTATGATACCAGTCGCTCATGTCCGTAATCCTAGCTACTCAATGCAGAGAAAGTTAGATTTTGGGGGGGGGGGCAAGTCCTAGAACTTGAACTCTGGGCCTAGGTGCTGACCCTGAGCTTCTTTTACTCAAGGCTATACTCTGCCACTTGAGCCATAGCACCACTTCTGGCCTTTCCTGAGTAGTTTGTTAGAGATAAGTGTTTCATGGCCTTTCATGGCTTTGAACTGAGATCCTCAGATCTCAGCCTACTGAGTAGCTAGGATTACAGGTGTGAGCCACGGGTGCCCGGCTTAGACATTTTTTTTGGCCAGTCCTGAGGCTTCAATTCAGGGCCTGAGCTTCTTTTTTGCTCAAGGCAAGAACCCTATCATTTGAGCCACAGCGCCATTTCCGGCTTTTTCTGTTTATGTGGTGCTGAGGAATTGAACCTAGGGCTTCCTGCATGCTAAAGCAAGTACTCTTAACATTAAGCCACATTCCCAGCCCAGACTTTAATATTTTTATTTTCTTTTTCGTGTGTGTGTGTGTGTGTGTTGCTGAGGTCAGAACTCAGAGCCTGGAACTTGCTAAGCAAGTGCTCTACCACTGGGTCATACCCCCCAGGCTCCGGAGTGGTACTGTCAAGCCATGAGCTCATCAGGCTGGTCAAGAAACCGACCTGCTACATGGCAAGCAGTATTTTCTTTTCTTTTTTTTGTCGGTCTTGGGGCTTGAACTCTGGGCTTGGGTGCTGTCCCTCAGCTCTTCAGCTGAAGGCAAGGGCTCTACCACGTAAGCCACAGCGCCACTTCCGGTTTGCTAGTGGCTTATTGGAGATAAGAGTCTCATGGACGGGCTGGGAAGGTGGCTCAGTGGTAGAGCGCTTGCCTTGCATGCTCAAGACCCTGGGTTCGATTCCTCAGCACCACATAAGCAAACAGAAAAAAGCCGGAAGTGGCGTTGTGGCTCAAGTGGTAGAGCGCTAGCCTTGAGCTGAGGGACAGCGCCCAGGCCCAGAGTTCAGGCCCCACGACCAGACCCAAAAAAAAAAGTCTCATGGACTTTCCTGCCCGGGCTGGCTTTGATCTGAGATCCTCAGATCTCAGCCTCCTTAGTAGCTAGGATTACAGGCGTGAGCCACCGGCGCCCGGCGGCAAGCAGTATTTTTATAAATCAAATAGAAAACAACAGGGTAAAAGGACACTTTGACTTTAGTTATAGATGTGTTTAGCTATGTGTGCTGTCATCATATGCTGCTTATTTCTTGTAATAGGCTGCAATAAAGATATTGTCAAGGGGTCCCCACCTTGTCCTGTCCTGTTCCCGAGGGCTTGTTCACCCTGAGGCTTCTGGTACTTCTTGTTTAGCTTGAAGTCTCCGTGCTCCCCAGTGCCAGGGCGAGCCAGGAGTTTGGTGGCTGTGCCCCGGCCCAGCAGCTCATCCAGCTTGGAGCGTGCGGGGCGGGGCCCTTCCCTGCAGGGTAGAATGTGAGAGAGGAGTTTGTAGGCACCCGGGGCTCCCAGGGAGAGGCCCGTGCTGTCCCCACCCCACAGTGGAGCTCCCCCCTGGACTCGGGGCAGCGGCCCCATCAGGGTCTCTGCACACGTGGGGCTCCTTACTGGTCTCCCATCTGCCTCTTGTCTGCCTTGGGGCTGTCACTAAAGCCCAGGGCTGCCATGATGTCGTCCCCATCGTCAAACAGCGAATCTTCCTTCTTTCGAATGGGAGTGTCCCCAGGAGTCAGAGGAATAGAGGGACCTAAATAACAGGACCAGAGCCCAATGCCCACAGCCTCTTGTCCCTCACCGTGCTGGGGTGGGCTGAGGGAGGGGCTCCCTGAGCTCTGGGGTAGGGGGACAGTGGACATCACCCTTGTCAAGGGTGCTCAGGGGACCTGCCTCCCATCCCCCTCTCCCATGCCCACACATCCACCTCCTTGGTGCTGGAGATTGGCTAATTTCTTGGTCTTGGATCTGAGTCCTGTGGTCTCACTCTGCGGAGGTCTCTATTGATGTTTTGTTTTTGTGCCAGTACTGGGGCTTGGACTTGGGGCCTGGGCGCTGTCCCTCAGCTCTTTTGCTCAAAGCTAGCACTCTAGCACTTGAGCCACAGCTCCACTTCTGTTTTTTTTTTTTTTTTGTGGGTAAGTGGAGATAAAGAGTCTCATGGACTTTTTCTGCCCTGGCTGGCTTCAAACTGCGATCCTCAGATGTCAGCCTCCTGAGTAGCTAGGATGACAAGCATGAGCCACCAGTGATTGCTAGGTCTCAAGTTCATTGAGTATGTATGGTGTCAGATGCTGCTCCCACAGTAAGAGACAAACACTTCCATCCTACCTGGACCTCCACCTGAGCTGGGGCCCTGGTCCACAGCTGATTTATTCTCTGTCACAGGGGGCTTCATGGACATTTCTTCCTCATCATCAGAGAGAAGTCCTGCCAGGGGATCTTCCAGGTCTTTGTGCCGGAAGGGAAAGCGGAAGTCAGGTGGCTGTGGCACTTTGCAAGAAGTAAGTCTAAAGCTGAGACAGCTACCTCTTGGACAGCTATGCCTCAGCGTCTCAGGTGGGGAGAGGGAGGTGGGCAAGCCTGTGGGAACTTGGGCTCCTGGAAGTGTTCCTGAGCCGTCAAATTCACAATGTTCCCGAAGGAAAAGAGTCATTTTAGCCTCACTTTAGAAGTTTTTCAGCCAGAAGCTAATGGCTCATGCCTGTAATCTAGCTACTAAGGAGGCTGAGATCTAAGGATCTTAGTTCATTCCAAGTCAGCCCAGGTGGAAAAGTCCATGAGACGTTTTTTTTTTTGAATCTCCAACTAACCAGCAAAAATCCAGAGGTGGAGATACGGCTCAAGTGGTAGAAGATCAGCCTTGAGTGAAAAGTGAGGCTCTGAGTTCAAGACCCAATATCAACACACACACACACACACACACATTTTTTCAGTTTGATAGCTGGCTTCCAAGTCCTTGCAAGTAAGTCTCCCAAATATCCTGGCCCTCTTATTCCTGAGGAACTAACTGGGAGCACCAGCCCTCTTCTGATACAGAGTCCTTGGCCTCCAGTGGACCCCTGGTACCTTCAAAGGAAAATTTCCTGTACTGAGGCCCAGAGCTGCTGGGAGAGGGAGATGACTTCTTGGTGGAAATGGTGGCCCCTGCAGGAAGAACAGAGAATGTAGACCAGGGTCCTCCACCCTCTGCACTGGGCCCCTGGGTTAGGATTCTAGTCTAGGGAGCTAAGGCTTGTTGCCACAGGTGCAGCCATAGTCCTTGACTCTAATCCCAGCACTCAGAAGGCTGATGCAAGAGGATCTCCAGATCAAGGCTACCCTGGGATACATAGCAAGACCCTGTCTCAACCCTCACCCACCATAAAAGAAGTCCCTTCGGCAGCTTCCCAAGTTGGACTTAGAGGGACTAAACAGCTCCCATCATACACAATCTCACAATTAGCTCCTTGGCCTCTCCATCCTAGAAAGGGAAAACCCACTGCACATGAGAGCTTCCTTTCAAGCAATAGGCCACATCCTTGGAAACTCCCTGGGGGTGGAGGGGAGACCTACCCCCTACTTACCTTTCTCACTGGCCAAGAGCTTTTCAGCAGGTTTGGAATTGCTAGGCAGCTCTTTCCCAGAACCCTTGGCAGCATTTTTGCCAGTGGCTGGGTGAGACTTCTTCAGACCCAAGATGTCAGCATCCATGTCATCAAGGTCCTAGGACAGATGAAAGGCGAGTGTATGACATTGGGAAGGTGATATGGTTCAGACGTTCCAGTGTCCACAAAGGTCCACATGATAAGGCATGGCCATGCTGGAGGTGTGGCTCAGGTGGCAGCAAATGCAAACTCTAGTGGGAAATAACTAAATAGAGAAAAGGTGGCTGGGAAGGTGACTTAGTGGTAGAGAGCTTGCCTAGCATGCATGAAGCTCTGGGTTTGATTCCTCAGGACCACATATGCAGAAAAGGCTAGAATTGGTGCTGTGGCTCAAGTGGTAGGGTGCTAGCCTTGAACAAAAGAAGCTCAGGGACAGTGCCCAGGCCCTGAGTTCAGGCCCCAGGACTGGCAAAAAATAAATAAATAAAATAGAGAAAAGGCTTGGCTCCAAGGTGATGGTGCCAGAGGGGGATCTTTGGGAGAGCTTTCTCTGCCATGATTTGAAATAAGACAATTTGTTCCTGCCATCTGCCACCCTTACCACAGCCAAATAATTGCTGCCCCCAATTTTTTTTTTTGGGTCCAGTTGTGGGGCCTGAACTCTGGGCCTGGGCGCTGTCCCTCAGCTCTTCAGCTCAAGGCTAGCGCTCTACCACTTGAGCCACAGCGCCACTTCCG